GTGCGGGACGGTCCCGCATTTCAATGTGATTTTTGGATGTAGCGCATTTTGCAGAAATACGCAAGATCATAAATTTGTCACGCATTTAGTACAAGTCTAGCCGTGATGACGAATAATCACGAAAATGTATTTAAAATTAGAAGAAAATTAGTTTTTAAATATATAAAACGGTCATGTAGTAAGTTGAGTCATTAGTAAAGTAAAGAAATGTTTGTGTACATAGTTTGGATGCTCACATTAAACATACAATGAAACTAGAAATTTTGTACATGGCTTTATTAAAACTATTTTTGTTTATGTACCCAGTATTTTCAACAAACACTCCCTCAAAACAGCTTAAAAATGCTCAGATCGTCTCAGCGCCAGGGGGATTCGCCCACAGAACCCCCACCGGGGCTCCGACCCTGGACCCCGGCAGGGACTTTGGTGGCCCCTGGCTCGCGTTTCAAATCATTTCAGTTCAGTTTGGTAACTATGGAACAAAATGTCCGGCCAATTGAATATTATTTCTTGCCTTTTTTCCCCTATGCATAGCAGCAGCAGCATACGTTTACTCACATGAGATGTGTATAAGAGACAGATTTAATATTATGATGTAGCTGGGAATGTATTTTAGGGTGATAATTAAAAGAAGAAAAACAGTGGAAGTTTAACACTGTTCTGTGTATATAATTTGAATTTCTTCAATTCCAAACGAATGAAATCTGATTTTCGTGTAATTTTTGTAGTATTTCAAATGAATATATGTACCCACTGTTGTCTTCTAATCGGATAATCTGGCCGAATTTTGGCCGATATCGAAAAAAAGTTTGGCCGAATTTGGCCGTGAGAGATGGCGTGTGTTTGGCCGTGAAGCCTGTCGACTATCTGGCAACCCTGCTTATAATGTACTTTTTGCTGGGAAATTCCCGAATCAATGCTATTCCTCGGCGTTTCTCTGAAATGTTTCCACAGTCACAAACATGCAGTTAGATGATGTATCTAAACCTCTGAAGGAATTGTACAGCGGGACTTTATCATTCAGTAAGTAGGATGAAGATGGAAAAATCAAGATTTATTATACTATATTAAATAGGCAATTTAGTGGCTTAAATGTAGGCCAGCCTGCACATATTCAATGTCATGCGAGTAATGCAGGGAGTTGTTGTACATGTAGTAACTCCCTGGTTGATGTGATGGAGGTGTCAACTTGGACGTGAAACAAACAAAAGGAGTGTGCTAGGACCTAGGCTAGGTAACATTTTTAATTAAAAAGTTCTTTGCTTATCCTCCTGTGATCATAAAATATGAATTTTAGTCATATGCCTAATTTGCCGTCACAAATGACAATAGGCCTTTTTCACGAATCGGTAGACATCATGAAGTGATGACAAACATTGCGAATCAGTGGTGCGTAACCAACAGAAATAAGATAAGCTTTTGGGCTGATTTTTTGACATCATGTTATATTGAAAAATTTTTTGACCTCTGAAATCAAGATTGAAAAAGAAAAGCCTATCTCAGTAGTGTATTAAAATAGGTATATGCATTACAGTGCTGTAGTAATAGTCAGAACTAGCATTGTTTTAGTTACCATATGAGAGTTTCCTGTGTTAAAAACATGATTTACTATACTATACCTCTTTATAAAACATAACTTAATTGTACTTTATAATAAGAGAAATCTGTATATTATCGCTACTTGGAACAGTAACAACACGAAAGTCCTATGCTACTGCACTGTAATGCATAAGCTTATTTTAATACACTACTATTTAAGATAGGCTTTTCTTTTTCCATCTTGATTTCAGAGGTCAAAAACATTTTTCAATTTTTTTTCAATCATATAGTGGTGTAGACTAGTCTTTTAAGAACATTTTGCTGGAAAAATTGTTTGGATACGACACCGCTTTATGGAGTTATGATTTTTTAAATAACATGATGTCAGAAAATCAGCCCAAAAGCCTATCTTATTTCTGTTGGTTACGCACCGCTGATTCGCAATGTTTGTCATCACTTCAAGATGTCTACCGATTCGTGAAAAAGGCCTATTCTTGACCTCCATATAAGATGTACTCCCTGATCTGATATGATCTCATCATGTCATCTTGGATCTTCAGTATGTCTCATCTTAAACGGAAATTACTGTGCACACACATATGCAAACACAATACTGTCATGACCTCCTTCCTGTTTCGTAACAACTATAAACAAGGTTTTGGAAACACAAAACAATTAGATGGTCCTGGCATCAAATACAGCCAAAACTATGAAGATTTTAATTTTTAGGTGACAGAACAACATAGTTACCAACCGTCTCGCATCGTGCGGGACGGTCCCGCATTTCAATGTGATTTTTGGATGTAGCGCATTTTGCAGAAATACGCAAGATCATAAATTTGTCACGCATTTAGTACAAGTCTAGCCGTGATGACGAATAATCACGAAAATGTATTTAAAATTAGAAGAAAATTAGTTTTTAAATATATAAAACGGTCATGTAGTAAGTTGAGTCATTAGTAAAGTAAAGAAATGTTTGTGTACATAGTTTGGATGCTCACATTAAACATACAATGAAACTAGAAATTTTGTACATGGCTTTATTAAAACTATTTTTGTTTATGTACCCAGTATTTTCAACAAACACTCCCTCAAAACAGCTTAAAAATGCTCAGATCGTCTCAGCGCCAGGGGGATTCGCCCACAGAACCCCCACCGGGGCTCCGACCCTGGACCCCGGCAGGGACTTTGGTGGCCCCTGGCTCGCGTTTCAAATCATTTCAGTTCAGTTTGGTAACTATGGAACAAAATGTCCGGCCAATTGAATATTATTTCTTGCCTTTTTTCCCCTATGCATAGCAGCAGCAGCATACGTTTACTCACATGTTTACTCACAATGCTGTTAATTAAAATAATTTTGTTCGTCACTGTATGTATGCGTCATGTAGGCCTATAATTTCAATTCTTGCAAAATTAGAGATTGTTGGGAACTGACGGTTTTAAGTACCATGAAAGTGGTAAAGTACCGCTTTCAAAGCATTCTTTGAATAGTTGATATAGGCCTAATAATAAGGAGGCTCTATACAGATTTTAAATGCCAAAAATATTTTCAGGGTCGCATTACATTTAATGTAATAGAATTTATCATGTCTTCCTTTCTTTGTGCAAGTGTAACTGTGATAGTATCGTTTCATGAATTGGTCTTTTTTCCTCCTATCAGAGTAAAACTAGATATTTTTGTGTATCATATTGACCTTGCTTCTTACGCCTAACCAAATATTGTTACCTGCTCGGACGTTGTCCATACAACAATTCCCTGGTAATAGTAATCCTGTAGGAGTATTTTCAAACCAAACATGAAACTACAGGCATAATCGTGACAAAACACAGTATTTTGGTCTTTTTTCATCAGCCATACAAAGTTTGTTCAACTTTAATAGTTTGGCAGACAATGGTAATTTCTGTGTGATTTCACCTATCCTATATCCACCAAATACCAGGGCTTTACAGCCTCAACAAACATTTCGCCTGTAAAATCTCGGGTCTACTCATAATAAAGAAAAAGTTTCTGAAAAAGTTTTTATTTTTAATTTGCTATGTCGTTTTTAGCTCAACTAAGACTACCAATCTTTTGGCATTGGTTGATTAGTTGGTAGCGGATTTAATTCTAGATCTGGGTGGGGGTCACCCCTACTTCATGTTTGCCCTGTGTGTGTTTTGGCCTTCACTTTTTGGAAAAATATTCATCGAATGGTTATTATTAATTTTATTTTCTTTAAATACTATATATTTTTTTTATAATTTCATTTTTACTCGCTGGCCAGAATAATTTGCTTCACGAGCCAAATTTGTCCTGTGGGCTTCCAAAAAAAGAACCAGTGTGTTAGGCTTACAGATTATAGATCATAATTTCTGGTACATTTTTTTAGCAATGTTGGTGGACTGGCAAAACTTTTAATTGATTTAAATGCAAAGTTTCTGTTTGGTTATTAAGGGAGGTTTGTTCTCGGTTACCAGCAACACATCTACAAGGCCCTTGCCAACAGGAAATTTGCAGACCAAAAAAAGAAAAATAATAATACTTTCCTGATCATGAACCAAGTTAATGAATTGTTAATATCATTGACATATCAGTTTTAGAGATTTACGACTGAAGCCGAGATAATCCTGATTTCGTCAAAGTATTATTACCACTCTACGCTAATGTAAACAAACAAATAGTGAAATACTTATGGTCCAGACTGAATATAGTGTTCAAATTGTTAGTACATGTCGGTAATTACCCCATCTATCAGATTCTGTAAAAAACCTGAAACACGAAGATCTCCGTGTTTGGCGGTCAAGCGTTGCGTTACCAAACACGGAGATCTCAGTGTTTGGCAGGCAGAGTGTTAATAAAGGTTATTTTATTTACAGATAAAACACAAAATGCATCGCTCTCGCAGACGGAATTCTTCTGAGAGCAGGGCGAATCAAGGCTGCAGAGAAGAAAGAAGAAGACGGAATGATGAACAGGCTCATCACGGTTACAAAGAAGGAAAGAAAAAACACAACATTGATCAGAAACATGCAAGGTCTCAGTCTCGTGATTCTAGAGCTCATACAGCTAGGACACAGGCTCAGCAATGTACATTTGGGGCAAGATCATCTGATACTCGTGTCCCTTCTCGATCCTGGGTCCCTCAGAATACATGTAAATCACAACCAACTATTGTTCGTTTTCAGGGCTTTCCAATCCCATGTGTTCCTTCATCTCATGATAAACTAATAACATTTTTTGAAAAATATGAATTGAAGTATGTTGGTTTTAATCTCTTAAATAGCGATTATAGTGAAGACACATCGGATGTAACTGTGCAGTGTAATTCTAGGAATGAAGCTGAATTGTGCAGAAACTTGATACTTCAAAATTTCAAAGTTTATGATGCTGATATAGTGTCTATCAATGAAATTCCAGGTCATGAAACAGCTGCACATGAACACACAATGCACTCCCAGCTTGGGAAGCAACAACAAAGACGCCTAGAAGATGCAAAAATACTGAATCAGAAACATATCAGGTCTCAGTCTCGTGATTCTAGGCCTCGTACCCCTAAGGCACAAGCTCGGCATTGGACATCTGATACTAGGGTTCGTTCACGATCATGTATCTCTCAGAATGCAGGTAAATCACAATCAACTATTGTTCGTTTTCTGGGCTTTCCAATCCCATGTATTCCTTCATCTCATGATCAACTTGAACAATTATTTAAAACCCATGAAATGAAATACATTGGTTTTAATCTCTTGGAGAGCGATTATGGTAAAGATAAATCAGATGTCACTGTGCGGTGTAATTCCTGGCCTGAAGCTGAATTGTGCAAAACCCTAATACTTCAGAATTTCAAAGTTCCTTTTACTGATATATCCTATTTCAATGAAAATACAATCCCTAGTTGTAAAGCAGCTGAACAACTACACAATATGCACTCCCGGCCTTTGGCTAAGAAAAAACCAACACGTCTAGAAGATACAAAAGTACTTGAAATACTTAACCTTCCACCAAAAACACAACAAGGAGAGGTAGCTCAATTAGTGACAGAACGGTGTACAGTAAAACTATGTGATATCAGAATTACATCAGACAGAGCATTATTAGTCTATTCATCACGTAGTTCAGCCATACAAGCTTTACGGAAAATTTATGGAGTTAAATACAAAGGCAGGTTATTGGACATAAGATTACGAAAGCGTGATTTAGACATGGAAAATACAATATTCAATGACCTTAAACACAACCTAAAGGAGGAGATGAATGGATCACTGTCGAGAATCATACTTCAGTGGGACCAAGAAATTGAGGATCTGACACAACGTAGAACAGAAATAAACAATAACCGTAGACATAAGTTTGTTCCTCTTGAAGAAGCTGAAGCTATTGATGTTATAAGGAAAGATTTATCTTTCAAAAGTCAACAGCTTTCTAATTTTAAACTGGAGTTAGAACAGTTTTTGAAACACATGGAATGTAAAATCGACCAGGCAGACCATATAGGTACAGTAGGGAAGATGAGAAATTATCTATGGCGTGAAATACGAAAAGCAGAGAATCCACTACCTATATACGCTTACAGATGTGATATTGTCAGTACTGTGTTTAGTCCGGAGAATAGCGCATGCGTTATTTTAGGTGAAACTGGATCTGGAAAGAGCACACAAATTGCTCAATATTTAGCAGATTCAGACATTCTAATCCCAACTGACACGAAAATTAAAATCGCATGCACACAGCCACGAAAAGTTGCAGCAATTTCACTTGCTAAGAGAGTCGCTGAAGAGTTTGGTTGTGAAGTGGGAGATGAAGTTGGCCATATAGTTGGCTCTTTCCGGAAAACAAGTTCGAACACCGTCATAACTTTTATGACTGATAGGGTTCTTCTTAATATGCTTTTACGAGATCCAAAGCTTGAAGATTTCTCTTGCATTATCATAGATGAAGCACATGAACGTTCTATAGACACAGATATCTTGATTGCTCAACTTAAACAAGTTTCTATTCAAAGGCCAGAATTGAAAATTGTCATAACCTCAGCAACAATTGATGAACAGATATTTTGCAAGTACTTTAATAACTGTCCTTATATGAAGATTCCTGGCAGAGTGTTTCCAGTTGAGACAGTATTTACCAGTGATGGTACATATGAAGTCAAAACTGATTATGTAAAAGAAGCTGTACAGATGGCTCAGTTAATACACGAAACAGAGGAGCCTGGAGATATTTTGGTATTTTTGACATCTTCTAATGAAATTGAAAGAGCATGTGGTGATCTTGCAAAACGATTGGGAATAGTGGAGGATAACGGTAATGCCCAGATACTTCCATTACATGGAAAACTTCAACCACAGGACCAGATGGCTATATTCACTGAGCCTCCACCAGGTAAGAGGAAAGTAGTGTTTGCTACAAATATAGCCGAGACATCAGTTACCATAAATGGTATAAAGTATGTTGTTGATACAGGAATGGCTAAAGAGCGTCGATATGATCCGAAACGAAATATGAGTGTATTAGAAGTGACAATGATTAGTAAGGCATCAGCTGAGCAAAGAAAGGGAAGAGCAGGTAGAACATCAACCGGTAAATGTTTTAGGCTGTATTCAGAGAAGGACTACGATGAAATGGAATCAAATAACAAGCCAGAAATTCTAAGAGTTCATCTTGGAATGGCAGTTCTACAGCTTCTTCAGCTTGGTATTCAGAATGTTGAAAAATTTGAATTCGTCCAACCGCCCCAGGAAGGTGCTTTAGGAGAAGCTTTAAACATGCTAGAGTTTCTTGGAGCTGTAGGTGAAGTTTCTCATGACTTGACTGACGTTGGACGTCAGATGTCTTCGTTGACATTGGAGCCACGTTTGGCAAAATTGGTACTGTCATCAATTGAGAATAACATGGCTGAAGAAGGTATACTTGTTGCTGGTCTGCTTGCAGCTGGTGGTAATGTCTTCTACCGATCTGGATCGGATGTTCAAAAACGCAAATCAGATGAATCAAAACTAGATTTTAGTAATATGCTTGGGGATGTATTTACAATGTTAGATGTTTATGACGAATGGAAACAACAACCAGAAAAAGAAAGGACAAAATGGTGTGTTAGGCGAAGCATAAATGGAAAAACTATGAGAATTGTCACAGATTATGTGAAAGATATCAAATCTTCTTTAAAGTCTAACAATATTCTTGTCAGTAACAGCAGTGATGTCATTAATTGGAAGGATGAAAAAAGAAGCCAGTGTCTGCGCAAGATTTTGCTGTCAGTTTATGCTCAGAATTTATGCATATATAATGGACATCCCAAAGCTGGTTATACCATTGTTTTCCAGCTGAAGACTGGCGTAATACACCCATCCTCATCATTGAAATCCTTAGATGTTTTTCCGAAGTGGTTAATCTACAATGAATTCAGTCGTACAACTCAAGATTTTCTTGTTAGCCTTACACCAGTAGAGGATGACTGGATATTTGAAGTTGTACCTCGTTTAGCAGAATGCATTGATTTTCAATTATTAAGCGAGAATCAGGTACATGAGGAGATTGTGCAAAATGTTGGAGCAACACTTATGGGCCGCATCATTGGTAAGAGGGGACAGGGGCTAAGAAAGCTTGAAGAACAAGTGTCCTTGATAAAGAAAGTGGATTCACCTATCATGAAAACAGTGTGTGTAATTGAATGCAACAACCAAAAAGGCAGTGTAGATTTATTTGTTTCAAAGAATGTAGCAACTGAAGCATCGACATTAGTCAAGAGGACTGTTTCTGAGGAACGCTCTTCCCTTGAAAAACAGCAACTTGAAGTTAATATTGGAAACTCATTGTCTGGTGTTCGACAGGTCCTTGGTAAAGGGGCTGAACCAAAATTCATTTTGATGCCAGAAGATTTTAGAACTTTAGAAGTCAGTAATGTTACTGATGAAAGTTCTATATACCTATGTTTATGGCTTGAGCATGAAGATTTTAAAAACAATATTCATGATGTCTTCACCTTTCCTACTCACAGCAAACAAGCCAAACGTGGTGTCTGGGGCAAGGTTACATTTACATCTCCCTTAATTGCCCAAAGAGCACAGCAACTTTTTCCAAAAGATAATACCATGAAATGCAAAGCTGTTTGCCAAGGAGGGCAAGAACTTCGTGGATTAGAACAGGAGCTTGTTGCAACCTGGAAAACTGGACAATCAAAAGGATTTGCTTTTATCACATGTGAAAATGTTGCTGATGCACAAGCATTGAATCAAGCTATAACTGGGTTGGTTATCAAATCATCAGTAATAATATATTGCAGTTTCACAAAAAAAGACGCTAGTTCTTTGATTGTAAAAGGATTAGGGTCAGATATATCAGAAGAAGACATAAAACATGCAATTCGTCAGAAATCAGACATTAACTGCAAAAGGGTTGTAGTTCCAAGGGAAGCACCTTCGACTCATAAAACTAACAGTGAATATTCTGAAGATCTTAAGAACTTGCTTGTAAAATTTACAGATAAGGCTAGGATTGATGTGCATATTCCTCAGAAAGAAATGCATCGGCCTGTAGCCAAGGATGATACTCCACGAAGTAAACATATGAAAGCTTTTTTAAAGTTGAATCAAGTACCTGCTGACATAATAACCCAAATGATTGCTGAAGTGCCATCATTACCAAATTCAGTTGGACATCAGTTGGTAATACAAAGGGTAGTGAACTGTAATATCTTCTGTCCCGGATATATTTTCAAAATAATCGAGGATGGATTGACAGATATGAAAAAAAAAACAGAGCAAACATTCAGAGAGGTGCGTATTCGATATAATGAGAAAATATCTGGTGTCTTTATCAATTTTCACGGTAACAATCCAGATGATCTGATGAATGTACAGGCCCAGTTTGTCAAGTTGATCAATGGGAAAGAAGTAATGGTTGCAGGAAATAGTAGGGTACTGAGGGAAATCAGTGGAAACTATTGGCGTCAATTCCTAGCTGCTGCTGAACAGACTACTGGTACGCATGCTTTTTATGATCAAAGAGATAAGATCATAAGGATATATGGCAGTGATGAAGGTATACAGAATATGACAGAGTCCATAAATGCATTTATCTGTAAAACTGAGAGTAATTTTTGCGAAATTAATCTTGGTGAATTTACAAAAGCAAAAGGTAGAGCTTTGCAGATGCTACGAAAAGTCTTTGGTCCAGATTTGAATAATCTGAAGGTGAGCAGTGGTGCAGAGTCTGTTTCATATGTATTTAAATCAAGGATTGTGGTAGTTCATGGAGAAATCAATACTCAAAACAAAATTAAAGGTCTAATTAAAGACTGTCTGCAACAAGAAGGAATAGACTTCAACCAAGAGGATGTTATTGAGGAAGATGAGTGTGGTGTTTGCTTCTCACCCATAGAGAATGATTCTCACCGATTGGAGGGATGTGGTCACAACTATTGTAAAGAATGCCTAATGGATCTGCTCCAGCATAGTGTTAATTCGAAAGAGTTCCCAGTCGTTTGCCCACGTGAGAATTGTCCACAGTTGCTTTTTATGTGTGATATCAACATACTCACCCGAAGTGGGCAGACTAGAGAGAGGCTTTATGCAGCAACCCTGGATGCATTTATTGCACAAAAGAGCAACGGTGAATATAAGTACTGTATAACACCTAATTGTACAATGGTTTACCGTGTGTCCCGTGATGGTGGATTATTCGTCTGCCTGCAGTGTAATCAGCAGTTCTGTACTTCATGTAGACTTGACCATCCTGGAATGACATGTGGAGAGTACAAGGCTAATAAAGAGACGTCGGACAGTGTAATGGACTGGGCTAGGAAAAATCAAAAGGATGTGAAAAAATGTGTAAGGAAATATCTATATTGGTTTTCATTTTAGGGGGAATAGATTTAGAAGAAATCAATTAGGGTTTCATTATAAACACGGTAGAGGTATTGACCCTATGGGGTGAATGCTCTTTTTTTTTTTTATAAATTTTTCTTGTTTTACTGTATATTATGGGGTGAGTTGTTTTGCAAGGTGCGTGCCACTCTCTCACTCTGTTCTTAAAGTTTTCTTTTTAATTGGTAGAATTAGTGTTAAAATTAATTTTTTGGATGCTTAAATTGAAAGTTTCATATTTATGTTTTGTGTTTTTGTGAATGATTGGCAAGTGTAGTATATCTGAGAAATAACATCCCGGAACAAGCATGCAATGCACTGTATTTTTTGTGCATTATACCTTCCTGTTTATTAATATTCCCAAGAGAACAGCAGAAACTTGAAAATGTAAAAAAATCTGAAGACAACATGTATCAATGTATACTTATACTCTTATACTGTATGTATCTTTGTTTTAATTAGAAATGTGGTGCCTTGATTGAGAAGACCGAAGGATGTATGAACATGTACTGTACTAAATGTCGTAAATCTATGTGCTGGGTTTGCACTGAGGTATTTGATACAGGAGACCAGTGCTATAAACATCTTAGAGAGGTTCATGGTGGCTACTATTAATGGTAATCACAATAAAACTTCAGCTCTGTCCATAATACAATTACCGGTGCTTATTACTACTTTATACATATATGTATGTATGTATGTATGTATGTATGTATGTATGTATGTATGTATGTATGTATGTATGTATGCATATAT